GGGGGGGGGGCAGGTTCCTTCCACCTCCCTCTTTTTTTCTTCCTTCTTTTCCTCCACCCCACTTCCAGGTCACTCTTCCAGGGAGGCAGTTGCTCCCCTTCCCCCCGCACCAGAGCCCTGGCAGAGGCTCCTTCACCCTTTTCTGGAGCGGGGTGGAGGGAGGAGGGCGGCGGAGGAACAAAGCCCAGTGGGTCCTGTCGGGGGGGGGGGCAGGTTCCTTCCACCTCCCTCTTTTTTTCTTCCTTCTTTTCCTCCACCCCACTTCCAGGTCACTCTTCCAGGGAGGCAGTTGCTCCCCTTCCCCCCGCACCAGAGCCCTGGCAGAGGCTCCTTCACCCTTTTCTGGAGCGGGGTGGAGGGAGGAGGGCGGCGGAGGAACAAAGCCCAGTGGGTCCTGTCGAGGTGGCGCTTAGAATTTTTGAGGGGGGCCCTTCCTCTAGGCTGCTTTGCCAAGGAGCTGATAGCCCCTCTCCTCGGGCTGCACCCTAGATGGGTTCTTTAGGGCGCGGGGGTCGCGTGTGGGTGTGGAGCTGACTTGAGAGGACCCCCCCACACACACACACAAATCCCATCCCCACAACCCTCTGAAGGCCGCGGCTACTGCACAGGCTTATTGTTTTCCTCCTTGCTCTGGAGTTGTTGTAAACTTCAGCCTAGCCTCTCTGGGTGAGTAGAAGGGCCTGGCAGAATTGGGAATTGAGGGGGTGGTTCTTTGGGGGAAGGGGCTGCTTTTCCGGTGGCAATAATTCCCCCCTTCACCTCCCCTGAAATTGGACCGCTGCAAACTTCATCTTGGCTCTAGCAAAGGGGAAAAGTTTGGGAGGAATCCGTGTGTGTGTGAGCTCACTAGGATCTTGTGCATTTCTCATGTTCAGTTGGGGCTGGGGGGGAGAAGGGGGGGTATTGTGAAAACGAGGGTCTGAAAGAGCAGCTGGCTTGAAGAAGGTTCATTGTTCCCCTCTCGTAGCCAAGTTTAAAGGGCTTGAAGTGAGAACATGATCTCCCCCCTCCCGCCCCCAAACCACGCTGGGAAAGCTGGGGGTGGGGGCGGCGTAGAGCGAGTCTCAGTATGAAATATTTTGTCCATCTCCACAGGCCGGTCTGAAACTTGCGGGGTCCTGGCTGCAGCTGCAGGTGTGTGTGTGTGTGTGTGTGTGTGTAGTTTGCAAACTTTGCTTGGAAGTGCACCAGGGAAGGGAGCTCTGTATTGTGTGCCAGCTTCCACCGGCGCCCTCTGCGTAGGTTGGACTGTTGTCAGCTCTCGGGGTGTGTGTGTGTGTGTTGGGGGGGGATGTTTCTCTGCACGTTGCCGTTGGAGGTGGCTCGAGGCTAGGCCGTGGCTGGAGTTTTGGGAAAGGGCTCTGGAGGAGGAGAACGAAGGGAGGGGGGTGGGGGAGGAGAGGAGCGGAGCGAGAGCTGGGGGTGAGGCGCCTTTGTCCAAAGGCAAGAAGGTG